GGGTAATGTAATTTTGTTTCTGTGTAGAGGATGTATGACACTTTTTGAGTAAGAATTGACAAGATAGTATAATCATTAGTCGTGTTTCAACCACATTTAAATCATATATTTTCTGTTGTCCCATATTTGGATACCATGTATATGTAATAATTCGAGTTTACAAAGCAGTAGCGACACAAAAACGGTGTCAAATGCCTTGGTGAGATCTACGAAAATAGCCAAATATTTTTGACCTTCATCCAGTTTTATAGCAACTAAGTTGGTTAGCTCATAGATAAGCATATGATTTACTTATGCGGAAACCATATAGATTTTGCGATAATAGAGAGTATTTTTCTAGATAATGTACAAGTCCATTATTGATAATGCGTTCGAGTATTTTTAAAATAGATTATTTGAAAACTTTTGGAAATTGGCTCATGGTTAGGGTAAGGTATTCTTATTTTGTTTAACAATGCTAGCTGAAATGTTGTTCTAACCTACCGCATCAGGGTCTTTAAATCCATTTACGAGAGCTAAGATTTCATTCATATCCATTTCCAACAAAACATGATACAATACAGGTGAACAGTAATTAGTAGGATATATTTCCCCTTTCCATATAATATCCATCCGTGTTACATTTATATTTTCCGCTAGATTTTTCCCTATGCTAGCAAAATAAGTATTCACTGATTTTACACAATTAATGGTAGTGGTATCCAATGACAATAAATCGTGAGTTGTAGCATTTTTGGATTTTAAGTTAGTAATAGAATTTATCATATTATTATGTATGCTAGTCATTATAGGAACATATGTAAATAACATGATTGACTTACGTCATAATGCCGAGATTTTTTAACTGATATTACTATGCTTAAAATTCATGTAATACTTTATATGAAACGAGCGGATTGTATGTCGTACTATAACTTTTTTGACGACGAAGCCTTATTTTGCTATTAAATATTGATTGAAAAAATATAAAAATAAGCTGTCTGTTTTATCAAAAAAAGTTCTACTTTTCCTAAATGAGTGTCCACAATAGATCATTCAAGTATATGTCATGTCAAATTATATTCAAGGAAAAATTTTAGATTATTATTAATATATAAATTATTATATGTGCATAATAATTTAAAACCAAATAGTTGTTTTCGTCTGTCTGTTTCTCTTTTTCACACTTCTACACTACGATTATAATACGGGTTTAAAGAATATATTATTTATAGAATTTGATACAAAAGTTTTGTATCTATAATATAATATACACTAATATATGCATAGTTTACAAGCTCCGTCACATGCACTTTACACTCGAGTGAAACCGAATTGTATCGCTAGTATTATGTAAAATCTAGATGGAGAACAGGAAAACGGAATTGTTATTGTGTGCTAATATTTATAAATTGTTACATTTTGCGTCCTATATATACCATATGACAATGTATATATATACCATATGTAATGTAGTTCACATTTCTCGTTTTAATAAGATTATAATCATTATGTGGTGTAAAAGTTTATTTTTCCTATTTAATTTCCTTACTTCTGGTGTATTATGTGAAGTTTCTAATGGTAAGTGCAAAGACACCTAATTATAAATTACTATCTACACATGTAATATATATATTATAGTCGTCATGTGATTGGAAAATATAATGACAAAAAATATTAAGAAGTTATTAATTTACATTCTATACGGAACAATTTTTTATATAATATCTCCTAAATTGACTGGGTCCGGGTCAGCTTATATTTTTTTCTAAGTAACTGTAATCACAAGCTAACGGCCCACATGATGGAAAGTAGTATTTGTAGCCTCCCTCTGTGATACCCCATATATGTGTTAAGGTTCACATCGATATTGTAGAAAAATCTATAATTTAAAAATATTTTATGAAGATAGTTTCATTATTACACGGCATCGTTAAATTAGTTACGTATAACCCCTACGCATCTCTGTAGAGGTGGGAGTTTTTGTAAACCACGGCATTCGGTCAACGAGCACAGAACGTGCCGGTTGTATTTTGGTTACTACAGTGAATTTTATTAGAGGCGGGTTTATCCCGGATTTAGTTGGGCCTGCAGAGAAACTACAAGTAGTGAAGGTGAGAGTTAATGTATTCTAAAAATGCCCTTTAAACCTACATTCGTGTCACAAGTTACGGGTTTCTCTTCGAGTAACGGGCATCAAAGCCTAAGTCGTCATCATAACTAGTTTGGTTTGGCTGCCATTCCTGAGGACTAAGAGTATAACATTTAGATGTGCTAAGGAATGGCAATCGTACCCTTTAATTTCATCTATACATATAAATAAAATTGGATTGTCTGTTTGTAATATTGAAATAACCGTTTTTTACTACATGCATATGAATATAAATATAAGTGTTTATAAATCTAAAATAGACTCCCTCAGAGACAGCTGTTATCAGTTTTCTAAACCTTTCATCAAGCTCACAAGAACTAGGGGTTGTTTTAAGTATGCCGCAGCAAAAATTTGTTCATCACTGATTTTATCCTTACCAATATTTAGGCGCAAATGTAGCAAACGGTTGCTGCAAGAACAATCCCTCGTTTCGTAGTATTGTAATCTACTAAGTTGTGTCGATATGTGTGTGTGTATATATGATAAAATAATCCTGAATAATTCTTAGTTTTTATTTAATGTTGTAACTAATCCTGAATAATGTTTAGATTATATATATTTAAGTTTGTTATTGTCCAATCTTGTTATTGTCAATTTTTATGTTTACTTTGTTAGTTGTAGTTTAGAACTTAACTTAATATGCTATCGTCGTCGTTGATCTCATATTGTATTATTGATAAAGATAGATTAGATAGATTATATTACTGATAAAGACTATAACAGAATAGCAGAGAGGGTGGACTCACTGCCCTCACTGAGTTATAGACAGTTTTGTCTCATTCATTAGTTTTAAATTATATTATTGTATGGGTTGTATTGTGTGAAAAGGTTTTGTTTGAGACAAATAAAAATTATTATTATTATTATAATATGGTACATACACCAAAATAACATTTGTTACATTTTTTGTCAGTCTGTCTGTTTTGATTTGTTTTGTTCTGACTAATCTCTGAAATCGGTGGACCGATTTTGACGGGATTTTCTTTGCCAGGTAGCTGATGTAATAAGGAGTAACCTAAGCTCCTTTTATTTTAGAAAAATAAAGTTAAATTCCACGCGGACTAAGGCGCGGGTACAGTTAGTTACTAATACAATAAACATGTATTGTTGCCATTATGTTTGTGAGGAGAAATAAATAAATCATATTATATTATTATAATATTATATTATATTATTATATTATATTATCATATTATATTATTATAATAATAAATATATTCATAAACGATTAATTTATTATTCCTTAACTATTACACCATTTTGTACTGCTCTCTCTCTTTTGAACGTAGAATTATACCATAAATATATAACTTACCATTGAGGAATTTATTTTTACAATTGTGAAAGCAATATCTACAGATAATAAATATTATAGAATTAAGAAGACATTAAGAAACGTAAACGTAAACATTACATTTAGTTCTAAAAGGAAGAAACAGACAGACACTCTTCTGAATTTTTAATCTGAAATTCATAATTATTTACTAATCATAACATCATATATACTTTATAATTTTCTTTTTGTTTTAGAAACAACGAAAGTAATCACAATATCCGAGGGAGAATACTTTAATTATAGTTGTTTTCAGGGTAATCATTATAATAGTAAAATATATTGGAATCAGACCAGGATAATGAATAAGGACAAAGAATTAGGTTTGCATCTGCATCTTCTAATCATTTTTAATAAAATGTTAAGTGTAATTGGCAATCAGCATAATCTGTATGTTTTTTTTATTAACAATAATGGAATTAATAAACCTTGCGTTTATGGTGTGTACAATGACACGGCCTCAATAAAGGATTAAAGAATGAGGATAAAGTCAGGTCGCCAACGTCTTTGTAATGATTTAACTAGAAATTCAACATAATGGTGTTTAGGGGAGCCGCATGTAAATCAACTTAATAATATTTATTGTTAATAATAAAACTAATTTCCTCCTTATATATCAGCCATATATCATATAAATCCTTATTAAGTTGCAATAACTTATAGGTACCTATTACTATATTATACTGATAAGTCTTTATGTACTAATAGGGAATATAATAAGTAACAACACGACTGCTTTACACTGGGTTTATTAACAGACAAGATGGACGACCGTCTGCGAAACGATCCACCCTTACAACTTTATGACACCTTCACGACTACTAACCCATATGGAGTTGAGAGAGTAATTGTCAATTGTCGATATCATGATGAATCCAAAACATGACATAATTTCACTGAATCCAACAAACAGCAGAGGGCACGAATACCATACCATCTAAAATATCGGTATAATCAAGTCCAATGTAGCAGGGATCGAACCTACCGCCGTCTCTTGTTTTAATTGCTTAGGTAGACTATACAAAGTCCTCTGCATGCGCATGCTGGTCTCACCTATTGCAGCCTGCAAGCAGGGACATTACATGGGTATGAATTTATGATTCCTCATCTGTCTTCCGAAATAGCAACGCATGAGTTTTGCCATGGGCGTTATAATGGTGACATGATATTAGTAGTGCTAATACTAATTCTCATGTGGGCCGACAGCATATTACTCCCATCCGTTTCATACAAAAAAATGGTTATTAATCACTGTTTTCATCACCGGACTAACAGAGTCAAACAGAAATAAAAAGATATATATATGGAAAAAATGTATATCAACTCCACATTCGATCTCACTAGCTTTCTGTTTATGTCGGGTTGTCACCACTCTATTGTCTAAAACATTTTGTCAATGATAAATAATAATTTATTTATTTAACTATAACATACATTATGTTAACATCTCTTCTAGAACTTTTGGGATACCAATCAAGATCGGGTTACGCCTTTCTTTACACGGGGAAAGTGTACGAATTCGATAATAATACAATCATGTATTGCTACAGACAAGACATGACATCGGAAAGTATGCTGTCCGTTATAGAAATAAAAAAGATATATGTCAAGCCAGGTGCAGGTTCGTATCTAAATTGAGTCAAACAAGGCGGAATTTTATTAATAAGAATATATACCTAAGTGTTTGTATGTTGAGCGTTCATCTCATACATCTGTCGTTGCTCATACAACTACATATCATACACCTAGCAAAATACTGTATTGTCTAAAAAATTATAACTATGTCAAACTTTACTATCAATGTAATGTCAATTTAAAAAATGGGTTAATCCAATATCATACTAGGTGTGCAATATGTACATACCTATATGTATGTATGTATGTATAAATCAAATTCACAGTATTCGTAATCTCTAAACTTCATTCTTATTATGCTTAAGCTTAGGTAATTATTCTAAATAACGCATGGGGTTGTTACTATCATTCCATTTTTTTTTTCGGAATGTTTATACCTGTCTACTTATAATACATACATATCGTACACGATCTCTGTAACATAGTACTGTACCTTCGAGGCGTGTCTAGTCTATTACTGATTGAGTTGTAGTTTACATTGATAATTTAGGATTGAGAACCACCACAGATGTAGGGATGTCGTGAATGTGACAACAATGTGTACAACAGTTTTGTTATCTGAGTTACACCCTTTCCAGAGAATGAGGATTAAATCTTAACACACTTATTAAATCGTGGCAATTTCAAAAGGAGTTTATCAGAATAGAGCCTCTAATACAAATGGAAGAGCTACAGGAAATATATTATAATGCACGGATGGAAGGACTTGTTTTCATGGCAATAATTATTAATTACATATATGATATTCATTTCAGCATACAGGAATATATCTTCCGTTCATTACCATGATTATTACAATTACAATGTGAGCTGTAATAGTAGTACTCACTGGCTGCATATTAATGGTAAGTCAATAAGGTAAATATATCAAGCGCCACTAAAGTTGAACTTCGACTGATTGATTGATTGTAACAATCATGAGAAAAATATCTATCCCATACAGTTTGAAAATTATGGGCATTTTAGAAAAACCTAGATATTTGCTCTAACTGTAACCATTTTTCGTTTATTGTGGTTAATTTTTATTACTTTTATTCAATTTAACTTTTAGAAAAATTGGGGCAATTGTTTCATTATTTTTGACTGTGGTTCTAGAAATATTGTTTAGGGTTACGGTTCCAAAGTTTAAATGAACAAAAATAATAAAAATTAACCTATTGTGGTAATACCAAAATAAGAATATTTACATATAAAATTCTACCTAATATATCTATATATTAATTATACCAATACTAAATGGATTTATATTATTTTGTTTAATTCCGCTACAATTAGGATGTATGAGACCACAAATATTCAGTGCGGAAACTTGACTACCTTGAAACCTAAAGGCCTAAGGACCGTCGCAATCTAATAATTATTAAATTCCAACCCTTATTGAATACACCCATATTACAATATTAGTTACAATGTATAAAGTAGTGTAATGGCAAAATAACACCTAATTCGATAAAATAAATACTAAGTTGCAACATATTATTATTTACAGATAAAAATGAGATATTACAAGTATCAAAGATGCCAGAAAACAAAACTGATGTACAATTCACGTTACATTTAAACAAGACACATTACAACTCAAAATTATACTGTATTCAATTTAAATGTTCTTCACCGCAACAAATAATGGTACAGAGTTGCATAAGAAATGTTACGGCCGTAACTAATTTTAAAGAAGATAGTAAGTATCTAATTAAAATGTTAATGATGATATACATGGAAGTTTAAATCGATTAATTCGGTTTTCTGATTGGAGACACAAATGTTCAGACAAATTTATTAGAAACGTATAGATACAATACGTTTCTAATAACAACGTACAACCTATACATTATCTATACATATAAATAAAATTGGAGTGACTTTTTGTAATATTGAAATAACCGTTTTTTACTACATGCATATGAATACGTACATACACCAAAAAACATATTTTACAATTTTTGTCTGTCTGTTACTCCTTATTACATCAGCTACCTATCAAAAAGTCCCATCAAAATCGGTCCCGCCATTTCAGAGATTAGCCGGAACAAACAGACAGACAGACATAAATTTTTCTCCAACTACCTTCGCAATCGAAGGTCGTAAAAAACGTATTCCGGGGTAAGTCAGGAGAGTAATGAGGAGGAGGACCCCTCGAATTTTTCCGTTTTATCAATGATTTGCCGGAGGTAGTCACTACGGCGTCCTGTCTGTTGTTTGCAGACGACTTAAAGTTATTTTTTAAAATTATCAATTTCTCTGATTGTGAGCTCCTTCAGAATGATATAAACAATATCTTTGAGTGGTGTGAAAAAAATCGCTTGATGTTCAGTGACACCAAATGTTCACTTGTAACATTTAGTTGGAATGTGAACACCTATAGGCATAATTATCAGTTAGGTAATACACTGCTAAATAGGGTAAGGTCTATAAGAGACCTGGGGTTTTGATGAGTGATGATCTTACTTTCCGAAGTCCTATTACTGCACTATGCACTCAGGCATTCAGAACCTTTGGATTTGTATTGCGACAGGCACACCAGTTGGACAACATACTTGGTATTAAAATACTATATAATGTCTTCGTACGCAGTAAATTAGAAAGTAACGCAATTATCTGTAACCCACATCAGTCAAAATATATACTCATGGTGGAGAAACTCCAAAAAAAGTTTATACGATATGTATATCAAAGGCAGTATGGTTATAGAGTCACATACCCTAATATATATCCTACTATGTTTTTTTTTGGGGATGGTGGGATATGACACACTCCAAGTAAGACGGAAGATTGCATTAATGTAATATGTAGTCAAAGTCATGAGAGGTGAAAAATGTAACCAAATGGTATTAACATCAGTGTCTATAAGAGCGCCCAATAATTACGTACAAGCAAGAAGACGAAACTTGTTTGATGTTCCATGGAGAAGAAGAGAGCTGGCCAAATAAGCTCTTATTTCTCTGGCATTGAGTCTACTCAACGGTGTAGTTAGTCGCTTTCCAGATCTAGACATATTTACTTGTAATTTGCTGGAGTTTCGTAGGATGGCAGTACATCATTTAGGTAGTATGTTAAATTAAGATTAGGCATTATTATTGTTTTTTTCTGTCTTTGGTTTCCTTGTGTAATTAGTGTATATGTATGTAATTCGTGTTTATAATAGTATGTATTTGTATATTATCTTCCTAAGTGGGCCATATTGGGAGACTGTAAAGCTCACTTAGTATGACATAAATAAATAAATTGTAAAAAATGGTTTTTTGGTATACATGTACCGTAATTATATTCATATGCATGTAGTAAAAAACGGTTATTTCAATATTACAAACAGACACTCCAATTTTATTTATATGTATAGATTAGGAACACACCCTTAGATGTTGCAAAGAGGCGCCCATTTCGTCTCTAATTTTGTCATTTACTTGAAAGTGATAAAATCACAATATACTCTACTGTTACTAAAACTGTTACATTTTTTTTATAGTTTATGGTCTAATTAATAGTTAAGGACAAGGCAAACTCAATATAAACAATTATTTTGTTTATATTGAGTAATTAGACTGTGGGGTAAACAAAATTGATGATTTCTTTCTCTAATATTAGTTACTCCGCTTTATTTAACAATTATTAGAATATTATTTTAATATTTCCAAAATTTGTTGTTGCTCTAGGTGCCACCCACAGTGGACAACCGATCATTGTAATGCATGCGGAAAGAGACTCTCAAACAGGTATCAATCTATATCGGAAAGTAATTTTAATGTAAGTTAAGGATAGTGATGAAAATAATAATAAATCTGACAAAATGTTTCATGTATTCATCATCAGATAAAAAAATCATTGTCGCTTTCAGTGACATTAATTATAAATGTGTCTGAAAAATTTACAATAATTTATCTTTGAAACAATGTTTCGGTCGCTCTGCTACCAAAATGTTTGGGAAACTACTCTGCTACCAAAATGTTAGGGAATATATAGGGGGATTTAGTGTGTCTGGCGTACCTGTATGGTTCTGCGGATTTCTTCGACCCCGAGAACGTCTGCCTTCAACCGAACCTTGGATAATTAGCCGCTCCATACAGTGTTCGTTCCGGCTAATGTGACCAAAATACTTGAGAATTCGTATTTGCACAGTCGACGATAATCTCTCTCTGATATTGAGTTCGTTAAGGATGGAAACATTGGTTCGACGAGCAGTCCAAGGTATACGCAACATTCGCCGCCAGCACCACATCTCGAGGGCATCAATTTTCCTGCGTTCTTGCATCCTCACTGTCCAAGTCTCTGCATCATAAAGGAAAATTGGAAAAACTAGTGTTTTCATTAAGTGCATTTTAGTGTTCTTGGTAATATTACGGTTTTTCCATATCTTCTGCAACTTGGTCACGGCTGTTCTCGTGATAGCGCATCTCCTTCTTATCTCGTCCTGACATCCGCCTGTATTAGTGATTGTGGAACCGAGATATACATAACTTGATACAACTTCACAGTTTCCAATTGTCGATATATCAGGTCTGTTCTGTCCAGCTCTATCCACAATCATCATCTTTGTCTTGCTTCTATTGATTTCCAGTCCAAAGGAGATGCTTATAGTCTCGAGGCGTGCTAGAAACTGTTCCATGTCTTCTTGTGACTGGATAAGGAGAGTGGTATCATCAGCATAGCGTAAGTTAGATACTCGTCGACCCCCAACTGACACACCTTTGTCCCATTTGTCCAATACTAATCTCATGATGTATTTTTCATCATTCAAACTCTCGTGGGACTTCATAATGTAGTAGTTTCCCGTTGCTTTCTACATCGCGATACTACAGGCTCAGTGACTGCAGAAATCTGATAATGAACCGGTCTGGATCTAACTTCCTTGCGCTTCATCTCAGTACTAATGGATACCGCTGCCCTCCATTAGGATCCAGATACTAGGCCACTGTGGCTGCCTCTTCCGCCGTATCGACCGTACCAACATACTTTGTTTCCGCTCGATCCACCGTTGAGGTCTTCACCCGTATCCCTGGGCTGGGGTCTGCGTTATACCTCGCAGAGCTAGGTCCCTGCAGAACTTAGCCACCAACTCATTCTGTCCTACTAGAGTGAGCAGTGCCCACCCCCGCGACGTGGACGCGCCATACAGGATTTACTGCAGTGAGCAGAAATAGAGAAGCGACCTCTATTGCTCCTGCAGCCGGGTTAATGGATGCGTTTACGCCCGCAACCCAAAAGCATAATAATTAATTTATATGAATATTTATATCGAACTAAAAAGCACGCTATATTATATCGATAATGTTGTATGCATTACGGTTACTACATTCCAATTACAGTTAAAGTTATCACAGATAGGTATTATCAGTGGGATGAATACAAGTAAGTAGTAATAGTAATAGTAATACTTTAGTGGAATATTTACATTGTATACGTTTATACATATATACATTATATTTGTATTGTATTTACATTTATACATTGTTATGTTATAATTAATAGTATCTTATTGATAAAATTTATTGTGTATTCTATTATACAAATCCGATTAAATAATCACGTATTTGTATATGTAAATATGTATCGTGTATAGAATGTAAATTTACATATGTGTAAGAAATATACTGTAAAAGATGTATATATATGTGTGTGTGTGTGTGTATATATTTATATATATTCAAAACATAGAAATAGTAAATATATTGTTATTATTAATAAATTGTCTGGTAGTAGTTATTAAGTTTCTTTTTATGAATTAGTCTGTAATCCGAATATTTGTCTGTTTTGTTTGCATATACTGTTTGTTATTTGCCCCTTTGGATGATCACGCGCTTATTTCATGTTGTATGTGAACAGTAATAGAATGTAAAAATCAACTGTAAGTGAATACAATAGAGCCTATATTTAAATGTATCATTAGTATGAACCGAGCTTGACTCATTACCTTGCCGTAACACAGTTTTTAGTCAAAACTAGCACGGGGGTAGTTTTCTTTCTTTAGTACTGGTACTGCCGTATGCTTAGTTTATTATGTACCCACTATAATTCTGCAAAATAAGGATTGTGTCCAATTTAACATACAAATTATTATCTAACTACTTAGAATTGATATTTGTTTCATCAGCATGCATTTAATAAGGACTTACATTTATTTTGTTACCGCACTATGTCGTTTTTATTTGTTTGTTGTTTAATATTATTTGAATTGTTTAACTATAAAGTAAACGTGTACAAAACGCTGCTGTATTTACTAAGCAATTTTATTTTTGCAAGAATATTGTCAAGGCTGTACTAAATATTAGTTCAATAAACATTATTATTATTATTATATAAAAAAAAAAAATAGCCATTATTACTACCTACATTTAGCTGAATATAGTAATTTGTATCCAGGCGTCAGGGACGGAACTTATCGCGATCTCTTGAAACAATTTAGTTTGATATCGGTATCACCGGAGACCCTCTTTTTATTGTTGACCAGATTCCAAAACATGATTATATTTTTAAGTTTAGGTTGTTTTGAAAGCCTCATTACTTTTTCGTTTACAACAGACTTTACTCGTTTAGATGTATATGTATGACTCATACATATATAAAGCATCTATATATATATGTCTTTCAGTCCATATATATACAGAACCAAACAACTCTAGATAATTTTTTTTTTTTTTATTTTATGTTTCAGATCATACATTACTCATCTGTTTAGTGATTACGGTCATACTGATAGTAGTGTTACTGATCGTGATCTACTTTCTGGTATCGAAGAACAAATCTCGCCGACAACAGCCTTTGCCCGATGACGCAACTCATTACTCTGTAGTGTATGACCATTGTATCAGGCAGCGGCGATAATATAGGACATGAATAGCTTTAAAGCGAAAAAACTACGAGTACTTTACTTCGTGGTAGAGTCACTGTATGTAATATTCGTGGTTATACAGTACGAATAAGATTACTACAATTAATAGAATTAACACCACTTGGTACCACAGAATAGTGGTACCAAGTGGTAGCACTTTAAGTGTAGCCGCGTATTGCTCTTAACTCTCTGAAATTCTTTCCTTACATATCCCCCACCTTTCCAAAAAGGCCGCCATATAGTATACATTATAACGTAGTTTCAGTGTTTTGAAGAGTCTCGTAAATAGCGGTAATCACTTCCATTCAGGAAATCCGTGACTTTGTACTATAAAAACAAAAATTGTAGTGTAAGTAAGTAAATACGATCTGCTCTACAGAACTATTTGTGTTCGCTTATGTTCTGAAAAGTGATGTATGCTCCTACAACTCTCAAGAATGTGCATAACATCTTGTTCTTGAAATAACCGCAGATATCATACTTTGGACCTTGTCCAAATAAAGAAAGCATTCAATAATCTTACCCAACAATGCCAAATGAAAAAAGAGTTATTGTTCTAGATTCAAAAATGACGAATTTCCATAAAAAATCTGACATCCCATTTTCATTTTATTTTTCTCTCTTAATGACTTTTGACCTTTGACTCGTCCATTAGAGTGTCACAAAAATCTATACTTGTACATATAAATGGTTTCTGTGGATTTAATATACCTATTTGGAGTAGGTTTAATGCTAACCATAAATTACCTTCAGATATTTTTGTTGAATATATATATATATATATATATATATATATATATATATATAAATATCCCCTTGGGCACTTTGTGGCTCAGACGTGCCGTATAGGTAGTTTTATGTTGATCCGTTTTGAGCCACAACTGTCACGACGAGTAATAATAATAATTAAGTTTTCGGACTACTCTAATGCTGTTGGCCGTAGCTGGCCTTTACAGCTTCACCGGACGTTATGGGGCGAGTGCAGATGGCACTCCAAACCCGCGGAAGGACTTATGGAGCGGCTGAAGGCCAACTCCTGCCCGACGGATACGACTTTAGTCTGAGGGCACCACTAGGGGTTCGAACCTCGGCTCAGGCCGTCGTAATTTCGATCGCCGTTTGAATTGGACGGGGGATCGATCGGAGGGGCGCCCGGGGGCGCCGGTGTGGAGCGCCCGGGCGTGCGCAGGCGCCTGGTTGAATGCGCGATATTGTGTGTTTGAGGTCGTCGTCTTCGCCGGCGAGGACGGTGTCGTGTGTGTGTGTAAAAGTGTGGTCGGGGTGGAACGGGTGGGCCCGTGGGGAGGTTACCTGCCGTTATGGGGTCGTCGGGGTCAATGAGAACGTGCCTCGGGCGACGTTGTCGCGTATGTCGGATATTACTCCTCGGTGCGTAGTCGACCGCACTGACTATAAGCGGATTAGGGTGGGATTGGGCAGAGTCGAAGTAGCGTCGAGACGCTTCCTTCATAAACTGCTTGATGGAGGGCAGATTAAGATCGCGGTGGAGATCTACGCTGCGAACGAACCACGGCGCACCGGTGGCTCGACGCAGAAACCTATTCTGAATGACCTGCAGTCTGTTGATTAAGCAGTAGGGTATGTGGGCGAATACGGGACTAGCGTAGGTCATGATGGGACGGATGCAAGCCTTGTATAATGTCAGCTTGTTGCGAAGCGACATTTTACTGTGCTTGTTAATAAAAGGATAGAGTCGCCCTAGTATAAAGGCGGCTCGGTCGCGGACACGCTTGATGTGAGGACGAAACGTTAGTTTCCTATCTAGGGTGACGCCGAGATATTTCGTTTTCGAAACCCACGGGATGTTTTGGCCGAATAGTTCGATCGGGTGATTCATAGAGTCGAATTCCCTGCTAAAGTACACTGCTGCACTTTTTTCGGGATTGACTTCTATGCGCCAC